CTAGCTGAATTAGTTTGAATTCCATTTAATATCGTATAACGATAACGATAAACCTGTAAACATGAATTAACTATCGACATCGATTTTAAGATCAATGATCGAATCCATCATATATATATATATAGATATTGATATTGAGTGCAGTTTTCTGGTTTTTGTCTCGAATTATCACGGGATAGAAAATTTTTACATTCTATACAATAATGATACTGTTAGAAAGTTACGTAGAAGATAAAAAGAACAATCTTTTTTTTTTTTGCGATCTTGGCATAGTAGATAAAGAATGGGATGACAGTTATGACATATTGCGAGTATCCAATGATATGTCGATATTATCCAAACGCTCGAAAAACAACGTATGTTGTTCAGTAACAGAAGTGGTAATTAATATGGTTTTTAAAAAATAAGAAAAAAATTTACACAATGAATTTACTATCAAATACTATTTGAAATCCTAATACAGTAATCCCAAATTACTCATACAGATGCCAATAATAATTCAACTACTACTACAACTGTCACCACTGATATTTCGCCGGTGACAAGCAATACCGTTTCATCAGATCCTGCTACAGTAACCGTAGAAACCAGGGAAATGCCACCACAAATAACTCGTTTTCCAACACAAATAACTCCGATTATTGCAAATAATAATAACGCGAATGTTAACAATGCTACAACGGTTAATCCACCCGAATCTAATAATTCAGTTTCACAAATTCATCAGACGTCAAATTCGACTCAATTCACGGAACCAACAAATTCTAGTCCATTACAACAACACTTGGCTGCTACTTCTTATGCTCCTCAGATAGCATCAATCATTAATAATGTCGCATCCAATTTAGCTGTAAATGCTGGCATCAACTCTAATGTTTTAGGCTCTCAATATAATAATGTATCAACAACAGATACCACACCTTACATTGTTAATCCTTCAATGATTGCGTCTAATAATACTATTAATTCTGTTCATTCACCAATTACATCAAATCATGCATCAAGTTTTCATAATGGTTCTGCCATAAATACCTTTAATTCTTCACCGCCACCACCGTCTCATATTGGTACGTCTCATAATAGTAATCCTAGCATCCAATCAGGAGTTTCGCCTCATCATTCTAGCCAATCTGGAATTTCACCACATCATGATAGTCAACCCTTAATTTCTCCTTGTCACGACAGTCAACCTTTAATTTCTCATAATAATTGTCAATCCGGAATTTCGACACATTATACTAGTCAATCTGGAATTCCTTGTCAAGCAGAGATGTCTTCTAATCAAGCAGAGCAAAATATGAACAATAATAATTCAATGATTAGACAACATCATGGTGTTAATTCTATCAATATGCTGTTAGACACGACACTAACTAGCGCTATTGTAAGGTCACCAAGTACAGCAACGATAAATTCTAATGGATCTATTCCTAGTCCGATAGATTCTGCTAATGGACCACCAATTAATTCACCAATTTCTTTTGGTGAATCTATACTTGCTATGGACAATACTCCTATGAGCGGAATAGTTAATCAAATGAATAATCCATTAAGTATACCACAAAGTTCAATACAAAGGCCCAAATATCATAATCTTCCGGAACTAGATACACTCGATACTGTTTATGATGTTTGGAATGAATGGAATGTTGGTCTAGATGGAAACCCTTCAATCATTACATTACTAGAGGTTTATGGTAACAAATGGGCTGGTGAAAATAAAGATACATTGATCGCTCGTAAAAAAATTATAAAGGAAATACAAACAAGAACACACGATATAGGAGTTGATAAAGCAATAAGTGAAATGGAACGATTAAGGAATGGTAATGGCTTAACTTGGCTATCAAAAAAATTTGGTGGAAAGAAGAAGGCAACACCTGCGCATCGTGGATAAGAATTTATTTTAGGAATAATAAAGTTGGCTTAGGTTTGGTTTTTAAGTTCTAAAATTTTAGGTTCAAAATTTAAAATCTAAGAACCAGGTTTTTGTATAATAAGTTCCAAACCTAAGTTAAACTTGTTTTGGATCAGAACCAAAATTTAAAACTTGATTCTCAACATTGTGTAAGACATAAACAATAAAAATATACGTATTAATAATAAAAAGTTACTTAATTCATATCGAACTTTTAGAACATATATATATTTTTGTCTGAATAACTTAATATGCTAATATTATTTAATAGAATTTTGACTTTTATAAGTAATATGACGGGATGGGTAAAGTGATAGATCACATAATATCGAAGTTAACACGAGGTCTATCAAATAGTGTCTAATGATTCTTATACTATTCAATTTATTTCACCAAGATAAATTGAAGGATATAAAAATATTCGTTCTAATACTGGATTACCAAATAATTATATAAATAACTTTTTATTTATATAGAGTGAGTAGATGCTTCCGATCAGTCCATCCGTCACTTTACATCCAAACGATGAAATTATTTGACACTAATAAATGTTATGCAAACACAAATAACCTGGTTTTTTTTTTCTTATATATATAAAGTTAACACTGCCCTCTTTACCTTATGAGTGCTGCTAAGGGAAAATGGCCCTTTATATTTTGTACCGGACACAATCTATCTAATTTATTAAGGATTGTGTCCGAAAGGATATTTTCTCTTGGCAGCACTCTTATGTTGTGATTAATAAATATATTTAATAATATATAATAATTTTACGGCATATTTTTTTGTCACCGGAGTGTGATTGACCAATCAAAAACGATCATGTAAGTCAATTTTATTTATAAAATCATGCCTGACCTGAGTAAAAAAAAATAAAATAAAAAATACCGACCTCAATGGCAATTTTGCAGTTCTAACAGATGGCGACTCCAACAAAATTACACTTGAAAAAAAAGAAAATGTTAGTAAAAAAAAAACCAGGTTATTTGTGTTTGCATAACATTTATTAGTGTCAAATAATTTCATCGTTT